AGTTATTCACGTGTGTTCCCACTTTCTTATTAATATCGTAACTTTTGCGAAATAAATTTTATGTAATTGTAAAAACTTTCATAAACCTATCTACAAAATTTATTAGTAAAAAAAAAAAAAGAAAAAGAATAGAGGAAAGAAACACTGAAATTATTATTAGTAACAGTATAATTAGTAACAGTATAATACCTAAACGATTGGACACTCAATCAGAATGATTGTTTTCGAGCTTTCATGTAGTTTCAATTAATCCAAAGGCCATAAAGGAACGAGGTCGTATTCGAGATGATTATATTTTTATTACATACACTTGTGTTAGATAAAGCAAATATTTATGAAGATTGTACGTCTTTAATCTCCTGAAGAATTTTTTATTTCTTTCAATAGACTTTAGTAGAGTTTTAGCAGTATTCAGTGGGCTTTAGAATGTTAGTAGTATCTTTTAGTATTTTCTTCTTTCAATCGGAGAAATCATTTTGTCCAGACAACTCTTGCAAAGTAATTTATTATTCTATTATCATCGGTGACTAAAGTATAAGTAGCAAAAGAAATCAAAGTAAGCGATTTATAACAGAGTGAAGAACACTTTCTACAACTTCTGTTAATACGTTATACCAAGAATTATTCAAATCTCTGAAAATACACCGTTCTTCTGTGGAGAATTATGAATGTTGGTCATTTTCAGCATTTTGGTCGAAGCATCAAGGTCAAAACTTTTCATTCTTGATGAAACAACATTTAAATTAGATCACTCAAGAATTTACGTGGTGATGTGAACTAAAAGCAAAGGGAGAAAGAGAAACGAAAATTCACATTTGTAACAGATTTAAATGCATGATTGTCGGGCCACCATAGTTGTATTTCTCGTCACGGTCTCGCGGAGTTTCCACGAAACGAAATGAAATGAAACGGGAGCAAGAAACGAGGTGAAAAGGGTAAACGCTTCGGGGAATGGGGGGAGCACCGCGAGGAAGAAAGCTAAACGCGGTCTCTTGCAGTACTTTATGCTACTTTTCTTCCGACACCGCGAGAAAAACCTTCCTTTCCTCTTGTCAGACCATTAATTTCGATCGGTTCGAAGCTTCCAAGTTATGGTCGAGCCTCTGGACGATCCATTTAAATTGAAGCCAAGTATGATAGATCGCTATTGAACCAAAGACAAAAAAAAAAAAAAATAACAATTTTCATCGACGAATCGTTATCGTATCATCCCTAAAATTCTCGAAATCGAAGGATTTCTTAAAATTGGAGCAAATTTTTTATACTCTAGTATATACGGGGTAATTGAAATTCTGCGTCGAGCGAGGTGATTATTCCAGCCTGATAAGTAGAATAAGACGAACGCGCGGTTACGCGGCAGCTACGATTTTTCACGCATCGACAAACCGATTGATCGAGGAGAGAAAAATCGCTTTTTACAAGCCCCGTCCTTTTCTTTCCCGCCTGGAAAGTATTACATTCGCTGTGTTGCGTTGCTCGCTTCATTTCCGTGTCGTTTCACTTGTGCTCGGTCACGATCCAGCAGAGAAATATGACCGACACAGATATCGTCACATTATCGTCGATAATGCTGGAACTCGATTATAAATTGTCGAATCGATGAACCTTTATGAATTATTTTTGAATTTTTATCGGCAACTTTTATCGAACGTCTGAACATGCACGCTCTGATTTCACTTTGAATTGCGCTTTTGCGTTATATACAGGGTGTCGCGTGTCAATCGTATTCGTGAGAATTTTGTTGGAGCTGTGTGGATAAGTATCGAGTGATTAATTACACAATAGACTGAAGGATATATTGTATGTGTAAAGAAACTCCATGATTCATCGAGACGAGTGAGATAAAAGTGCAAGAGTGAAATAAAAAAAATAACAAAATTGGACTTTGAATTGGAATTTATTCAAGAAAATAATAAATTAAAATACAACAATTAAAATGCAACAGTAATCATTCGTTTTTCTTATGAAGTAGTACTACATATATTATAGGGAGGGGGGCATAAATGAATGATAAAAATTAATAATAGATAATAAAAATAATAACAAACATTATTACAACATGCAGATTAAAATTTGTACATTCGTAGATAATAAACACATGTGTTCACAGATATGGTGATGCATCGTATCAGTTCATAGATGCAACGATACATGAGTAAATATGTAATATTACATTCAAATGAATAAGTAACAATTCATCTTCATCCTGAGACTAATAACTGAATCCTAAATAAAGCAATATTGTCTGCAGACACGCTCTTATGAAGAAACTCTCTTATGAAAAAAGACAATAGTGACCACAAAACGGCTACGAGCGAAGATAATCTTCAGCTCTGAGCATGCTTCGATGCACGTTGCACGATGAAATTACGAAATTTTCGTAAAACAACGCGATTTATGTAACGCTGGCGGGGGGAGTGGGGAGGGGGAAAGGGGGGAAGAGGGGAGGAGAGAAGAAAGCCGCAGAGAGCGGCGGTGAAGAGGACAAAAGGAAAAGGGATATCGTGGCCGATATCGACCATCGACTGTATAATCGACGGAATAATTACGTTCTCCCCTTAATAGGCAATCTTGAGGATCGATTTCTCTGATCACGGGGGAATCGGCGGCGAATCGAATGTTGCCTCGCGACAGCTAGCGATACGCCAGCAGTTATGCTTCTCTTTGGCTTTCGAAAATCTGTAACGCCGCGTTCGCCGGTGAAATTTTCACGGATGGTCGGGTCCTCCTCTGGCTGGCCAGCCAACTGCGACACGATAAGAAGGAACCGAGCTCCTTCTTCTTCTTCTTCTTCTTCTTCTTCTTCTTCTTCTTCTTTCCGCTAACCAACAGACTGCTAGCCCCGATGTCTAATTGATACGCATTCGCATCGAAATTGACCTGACCTTTCGATCGTATCGCATTAATTGAAATTTTAAATGATTAATTAAAATCTTAGAAGAAAGATAATGCACGTTGAAAATAATAAAGTAGAGAAGCGTTAAGTAGCAATAAGATCGGTGGATATTTCATAGAAGAAATTTTCTAGTGATATGAAGAATTTTTATGTGAAAATGAGTAATTGATAAGAAGTGTTTAGTTTTATTAAAAAAAAAAAAATTAAAAATGGTTTTCGTGTCTGCAGCCTGATTACGACAAATAGATGGAATATACATACGATCAAATATGTGTAGGAGAGACTCAAGTACTTGACTCAAAATATTCATTAATTTGGAATAATTGATATGTACATTAAACTACATTATAAAATGCATAAGTTATACAACGCTGTATTTACTCATCTTCCTTTTCTTTCCGAAAAACGGAAGATTTTCTAATCTCCAAGCGCGCAGAAGAAAGTTGGACGATTTCGTCGGGAACGAAGAGAAACTAGAGGAGAAAAAAAACACTTGTATGCAAAGTACACGTAGAACAGCGGTTTTGAAAGCATCCGTCGGTAGTTTTGTTCTTTAATCTACGCGCATCGTGTTAATTAGCCAAGCTCACGCGAGTAACGAACATGAAATGCATAACGTGGAACATAAATTGCGAACATAACGAAGCCTCGGCAATTGCCGCGTAAGTGACAATAGGGTGAAAATATTGTGAAAAATGTTCCCCTCGTCGGAGAATGCAATCGGATTTTCAATCAGTTGCCAGTGTTTTCCCTGATCTCGAAACAATTCTGGAACCACTCTGTGTGAGACCAGAACTCTGTTCAGCCAGCCACTGTTACAATTGCAAACTGGTTGTTTCACGAGATATTTTAGAACACGCGTGTCGCAATATCTTTCTTTCTTTTTTTTTCTTCGCGATAAATTTTAACAGGTGATTGAAAATTTTCTAAAAGGGAGAAGAAGAAAGAGAGATTGATTTTTAAGCGAAAAAAAGGGGAAAGATCGGATATACTTTTTAGCAGTGGCGAATTTCTCAAGTAATTTTTAGAGTTTATTCAGATGATTTCAATCAGAATTTAATGATTAACTTTTCATGAAAACATTTCTTAGAATAGCTTCTAATTTCTCACGCAGGCTATTATAATCATTTCGTTCGGACAGGGAAGTTTACGATTCTGAATTTTCAATTCAACATGCCCAAAGATCTTGGGTAATTGATCGTAGAAACCGCAGATAACTTTCTCCGGTTTTTGTCGTGACTAATATTCCATCGCACGCGCGAAAATTTCTTTCTTCGAAAGTAATAAACAATTCTATAAGAAAAATTTCTCAGATACACGCACATATTAACTTGCTGTCTCATTTATTCTAAATATTAAATTGAGGAACTTCTGATTAACTGTAAGTGAATTATCTTACAATTATCTAATATACAGCACTGTTGTCCGATAGAAATTGCATAAGACATTGAAACAACCGTATTACGTATTGAAGAGGAGAATAAAAATTAAAGAATTTTCGAATTTTCGAAATTTCCAATTTCCAATTTTTTTCTTTAAAATCCTACATGAATCACAGCGTTGCATCATATAAAGAAATAATAGCAGTTACGATCCAGGATTTCAATCAAATATATTATTTATCATACGACTGAAAATATCTAGCTCACTAAATATATCACTGAATAATATTCCACGCGTTGAAACCTCCATGTCGTCAAACACTGAATAATTTTCCACTCATTGGAAGTCCTCCACATTGCTGAATAATAATGCGAATAACTCGATCAAACGTTCGCTTGTTACATTGAACAACCGTTGTCTAAACGTCTCTCCATCTAGTATTCCTCGTTTTACATTAAAAGAAAAAAAGCAAAAAAAAAAAAAAAAACGCAAAAACTAGGTCAGGCGATCGGATGCACTTATGAATAAGGACGTTTCCTCAACGGTGGTCGCATTTTTGTTAGTTTATCGACCTGAGCGAACACGAGAAGAAGTAAACTGAATGGATCAAGATCCGTGAAAAATATTTTGATATTTCTCGTCGCGTTCGCTTCCCGGTCAAACCTTTGAACGTAATAGCAACGACAGGTTCCACTGATCGGTAACACGTTTCACTTTCTTTTCAGGTGTCGACTAGCAGAACGACCTGTTGGCTGCTGTTCGTCTGCTTGATCGTAATTCTCGGAACTCTCGATAATGCAGAAGGTAATCGTTTACCACGCTTTCCAACGATACGCGGATCTTTTGCCCTGTTTTGCCATCGCTACAGTCCTCAGATTTTTATATTTCAATATAATTTTAATTATCTCTTGCCCAGTTTAGCAAACGAGAAAAGTCATTCACCATTTTGTAGTGTTTCAAGAAGACATTTAAGGTGAAACTTGGTCGAGAAATAAGAAACGTTTTCGTATTTTGTTCAGACTTCAGATTTTTTTTTTAATTAAAGAACGCAGCAGAGTAACGTAACGTAAAATACAAGTTTAGATTAGCACGTCGATGATTTACTGATTTATTCAATCGTTTACTAATGACTTTTTCATTCGATTAATCGGTATTTAACGTGGCATAAACGCGAGTCAGTTTTGTGTTACTTATCGTCACTCGGGTTGAAATTATTTTTACAATCTTTCCCTTTCAAAAGATAAAGTTACGGAAGCAGAAGACTATAACAAGCGAAAGGCGTCAATCTCCATCTTCGCTTCTTCGTTACAAACATTAAACGATTATGTAAGAATGGCCCGCATATTCCCAGAGCGATCAGAGTTATGCAATCTGGCATTAATATCTCGAAAAACATTCTCGAACGAGTGTAATCTTCTTCCTACGACTGCCTATTTGTGTGATATATATATATATCGATCTGTTGTTAAAAATTTGAAGAGAAACTTTTTGAAGTGATAATAAATTCCCAGAGTGAATAATAATTCGAAACGAATAATTGCAGAGTAAATGTCAACCAAGTAGAATGCCTTGTTTGCTTACTATTTTCATTAAAAGGAACCGAAGTCAATTCGCAATGCGTCAGTATAGAAAGAATGCGTGAAACACACAGGTACAAGGAAGAGATTTCGCAGACCGGCAACCTCCGCCCCATCGAGCGATCAGGAAGTCTCAGCCAGCGTGAACAGATTCAAGGTCACGCGAAATCGTATCTCTAGCAAGAACAAGAAGAATGAAATTCAGACTGGTAAATCGGAGGACTACAAGGTAGGTATGCTAATCGTTGTCACATATGCCAATGGTACAAAAGAATTCTGCCCTGATTCATGCACACAATTGTACATAATTCAAACTCGTATTTCCGAATAGCGAATCACTCTTCCTTAAGAGATAAATCCTCCCTGAAGACACGAAACAGTCGTTATACTAATTTCGATTTGCGCAGCTTGTATGTTACTACACGAACTGGTCTCAATACCGAACGAAAATTGGGAAATTCCTGCCGGAGGACATACAGCCGGACTTGTGTACGCACGTCATATTCGCGTTCGGTTGGCTGAAGAAGAACAAGTTGACCAGCTTCGAGTCGAACGACGAAACGAAAGATGGGAAAATCGGATTGTACGAACGAGTGGTTAACTTGAAGAAAGCTAATCCCTCTTTGAAGGTTTTACTTGCGATCGGTGAGTAATTCTCGAGAGACACTCTCGAGACGTTACAACAACGATGAAAATGAACCGAATTCTTAATTCGAAATGTTACAAGAATCTTCTTTAAATTGTTATGAATTAAGACCAAGTTTGTGCACGATCGTTTTCGATCAGGTGGTTGGTCGTTTGGCACCCAAAAATTCAAAGACGTGTCGACGACGAGATACGCGAGGCAGACCTACATCTACAGTGCCATTTCGTACCTGCGAAATCGAAATTTCGATGGCCTGGACATCGACTGGGAATATCCGAAAGGAGGAGACGACAAGAAGAACTACGTGCTTCTGTTGAAAGGTAAATACTGGTATATTTTATATTTCTTACTCGAAGAATTGTGCAACACGTTTATCAAATTATTTATCAACTATGCTCGCCGTTTCGAGCCTCAATATATTCGAATGAATGATAAGAAGCAACGCAATGCTAGCAAATAATTACGTTACTTGATTGTACTAGTTAATTAATTAATTTACATTCACAGAGCTTCGAGAAGCGTTCGAAGCTGAAGCTCAGGAGAAGAAGATACCAAGACTTCTTTTAACAGCTGCTGTGCCGGTTGGTCCTGATAACGTTAAGAGTGGATACGATGTGCCAGCAGTTGCTAGGTAAACCACGTACAAAGCCTGATAGATTATCCTGTAGATTGTATATTTTTGCCAATTTATTCGAAACTGTCCTTCTTTCTATTATTGTTTTATTATGCAACGAATTAACAAGGGTCACCACGTCTTTTCAGTTATCTGGACTTCATTAATTTGATGGCGTACGACTTCCACGGGAAATGGGAACGAGAGACGGGTCACAACGCACCTTTGTACCCCTCGTCGTTAGACTCCGAATGGCAGAAGCAATTAAGCGTGGACAACGCGGCGTCCATGTGGGTTCGTTTGGGCGCCCCTAAGGAGAAACTGATCATCGGTATGCCGACCTACGGGCGATCGTTCACTCTCTCGAACCTCTCCAATTTCCGTGTTCACGCACCTGCCAGCGGTGGTGGAAAGGCCGGCGAATACACCAAGGAATCCGGCTTTCTTGCCTATTACGAGGTACACACTCGCGATTTCTCGCCTCCGATTCGCGAGTCTTGTTTCGTACCAAACGTGCCATTTTGCTTGTAAATTGAATTTTCCCTTTTTTTTCTTTCTTTCTTTCATTTCAGTAGATCGTTAAACAGATTGAATGTTCTTTCCACATTTCTCGCGGTTAGGAAACGCGGATTATCGTTTCAGTATCGGTTAAACAGTGGTTAAAGGACTGTTATTTATGAGCAATTATTTAGCCGCCATGATAAGTGGGCTCGGTGATTGTTAGGTTGTACGATTCCAAGCGACGGTGGTTTTTAAAAAGGAATGTATAATAGGGCGAAAGATAATATTCAATTATTAATGAATTTTCAATCATATTTTCGTTACAGGATGATGGTATTAAAACAAAATTCACAGCTGAAATTTGAAAGTAATAAAAGAGAAAAGAAATTTAAATTGTTCAAAAAATTAAGTAACTTAATAGAGGTGTAGATCAATTGAAAATTAAAGTACTTCTTGAGGATTCTTCCATTTTTTACAAATCGATATATTCAGTTTTTTTTTCGTCAGGTATTAAACGATATTAGAAACTCAAGTCAATTCAAGGGTCTTTTCCTCCCAAATTTTCCTATCGAATAGATCTGCGAGATGCTGCGAAACGGTGCAATTTACATCTGGGACGACGAGATGAAGGTGCCGTACATGGTTCAGAACGACCAGTGGGTGGGCTTCGACGACGAGAAGTCCATCCGGATTAAAATGGACTGGCTGAAGAGCAAAGGTTACGGCGGGGCCATGGTGTGGACAATCGATATGGATGATTTCAACGGTACGGTTTGCGGTGGAAGTGTCAAGTACCCCTTGGTCGGGGCGATGAGGGAGGAGTTGTTCGGTATATCAAGAGGTTCGAACGCTAAGGACGTCGACTGGACCGCCGTGGCCAGCACCGTCTCCGAGAGTATTCTGAAGAGACCCGAGCCTTACAAGATATTGGTCTCGGACGTAATCAACAAGGCGAAGAAACTTCAGAAATCGACAACGCAACTCGTTATTAATCCTCCTACCAATGGTACGCTCTTTCCTTCGAATATTTTTAATTTGTTTCAACTACGATTAATTTGTTTGTCGCTCGCAGAAAGGGCAGCTCAATCGATGTGCTATCTGACGAATTGGTCGCACAGAAGACCCGGAGCTGGGAAATTCGTGCCAGAGGACATCGATCCAACGCTTTGCACGCATATAGTCTACGCGTTCGCGACTTTGAAGAATTTCCTGCTCGCAGAGGAAAGCGAGAAGGACACGGAGATGTACGAACGATTGATCGCTCTGCGCAATAAGAATCCCGACATCAAGGTCAGAGATTAGATATATACGTACGAGATTAGAATACGTACGATATTAAAAAAAAAAAAAATTTTTTCTTAACGACGTATACGCTCGTAAAATTTAGAGTGTGTAATTATTATTTCAAGAATTATTATTCAATAATATTCAATATATAGTGCGGTTATCTTGGATATAATGATTTTTCAGATATTATTGGCGATCGGTGGTTGGGCGTTTGGATCAACCCCATTCAAGGAATTGACCAGCAATACCTTTCGCATGAATCAATTCGTCTACGAAGCCATCGAATTCCTCCGAGAGTACAAATTCGATGGTCTAGATGTCGATTGGGAATATCCACGGTAATTTTCAAGAAGTCATCTTGTTTTCTTTTCTTTTTTTCTCATGTTCGACAAGTTCTTCTGTCGCGTTGTCGACTTTTAAAAGTCTCTTCGCCCACTTAGTTTTATGTCCTTGTCAAACTGTATGAGAAATTCCAATAAAAATCGAACATGTTAGAGGTGGTGACGATCGAGCAGCGTACGTGAACCTTTTGAAGGAACTTCGACTGGCATTCGAGGGTGAGGCAAATAGTTCTGGACAACCGAAATTAATTTTGTCAGCCGCGGTGCCAGCTAGTTTCGAAGCTATCGCTGCAGGGTAAGCTCATTTCTCACTCATTGTTGTAGGAAATTCGAATTTGTATCTTCTCTTTTATCTTTAACTCTTTAACGATCTTTAGATACGACGTACCAGAGATATCTAAATATCTGGACTTCATTAACGTGATGACGTACGATTTCCACGGTCAGTGGGAGAGACAAGTCGGTCACAACAGTCCTCTGTTCCCTTTGGAAAGTGCTACCAGTTATCAGAAGAAATTGACAGTGGTAAATATTAAAAATCTTAGTAAATGTCACTTTCTCCTACACATCTTCAAAATACGCATGGTTAATATAACAATTAATAGATCAGTTAAAAAATACCACAACACGAACGTGTCAAATCGTAGTTAAAATTACATATGTGGATAAACTATATAGGATTACAGTGCGAGGGAATGGGTGAAACAAGGTGCACCAAAGGAGAAGTTAATGATCGGTATGCCAACGTATGGCAGATCGTTCACGTTAGTAGACAAAGAGAAATTTGACATCGGAGCTCCAGCTTCTGGAGGTGGAATAGCCGGAAACTTCACCAACGAATCGGGATTCCTCTCGTACTACGAGGTAGATATTAATAGCTTGATTTACTATTCAACGCATCTGGTACTAACGATGGATGACTGTATAGATTTGCGGCTTCCTGAATGAAGATAACACTACGTTAGTATGGGACAATGAGCAACAAGTTCCGTTTGCGTACAGAGAGGATCAGTGGGTTGGATTCGACGATGAGAGAAGTCTAATAAATAAGGTAACAGAATTTGGTATTTCAAAAGAATTGAAAAGTTAATTAAACGAATCAAATTATAGACTTTTATATGAATTTATAGGAAATTTTAAAGATGAATTGTAGTATTTTTTAATATTTTTTTTAAATTGTGCACTTGCATATAATCTAGAGTTATTCGAGGAATGCAACTGCTGATCAGTTGATGCTTACAAAATAATTTGGAGTGTTAGAGTATGGTATTAATTTAATGAATATAATAATGCTAAATACTGCATCCCCATCGATTACGTTAGATGCAATGGCTCAAAGAAGAAGGCTTTGGAGGTATAATGATCTGGTCGGTGGACATGGATGACTTCAGAGGAAGTTGCGGGGCTGGCAAGTATCCACTGATCAAAGCGATGATGAAAGAGCTGAGGGATTATAAAGTGAAATTGGAATACGACGGTCCTTATGAGACTGGGAAAAATGGGAGATACGCCATCAAAGATCGTGAGTATTTTAGTTAATATAACAAAGACGTCAAAAAAGTCATTAATATAAGCGAGGAAATGTATTCTTGAATATAACAAAAAAGAAGGAAAACATCTATTTTGTGGAAACCTGTGGAATAAAAACTTTCAATCTAATGTAAAATTACCCAATTTTAACTAAATATAGCAAATATAATATATTAATCTACTAGATGATGAAATAGTGTGTTAATCTATTAATTAAAAATTATTAATCAATTCTAACTAAATAATATATTAATGTGATAATTACAGCGAACGAAGTAAGCTGTGATGAAGAAGACAACCATATTTCTTACCATCCTGACAAGAACGATTGTACTATGTACTACATGTGCGAGGGTGAAAGAAAACATCACATGCCCTGCCCGGTAAATCTGGTGTTCAATCCAAACGAAAATGTTTGCGATTGGCCTGAAAATGTGGACGGATGTGTACAACACACACAGGCACCGCCGGTGTAAAGAAAAAAAAAAAAAAGAAGAAAAGAGAAAGAGACAAAGATAATAATTATTTAAGAATATTTTTAATTAAAACAGTTACGTGATGATAATTAAAAACAAAAAGAAAGAGAAAGGAAGAATTCGTCGAAAAAAAGAAATAATACGACGATCGTTAATCAACGAGGAATTCCGTTATCCAGAAATCTCTTTTTATTTCTCCCCCTTATTTCAATTTTTCTCCCCTCTCCCCTTTGAAACTTTTATTTCTTCCTAAATTTCTCTTAATCCCCTGTCGATTCCTGTTTGTCTATGTGTTTCTTACATTTGTATAAATACGCGCGTTGCTGCGACAGATACGTTTTGTAAATAAGAGGAAACGAAATTTTCTCCGAAGAATATTTCGCTTGTGAGAGTAACGACGGACGAAAGTAAATTGTACGTACCATTAACTAGTAGTTCATTTTGTAACTTTACATAAAAGATCATAATTTGTTGTCCGTGTCGGTTTTTGTCTCTGGTTTAAGCTCACCCCTGCTTTCTTCAAATTTCGCGTGAACAACAAGACAATGAAATTTACCTTGAATCAAAACATGTATTAATCGTCAAAAGTAATAAATAAAAAAGAATCAGTGATCATTTCGTGATTGAAATCAGATCGAGGAATCAATTCGTCCATCCGTAAAGTCTTACTATAAAAATTCTTTATTTCCCAAATGTAAATAATAACGCGTTGAACAAACGGCTAGTATTAAACTTACCACTATTAACATTATTTGTGCGCATACTTTATTATTACTATCAGAGTCTCGTCGACGCTATTGAATCAAATCGAATGATATACAAGTAACATATTTACATACCTTCATATATATAATATAAATTCAACTGGTTCTCCCTTGTTTATCGTCGAAAGCAATAGCTTTGAATCACTCGAAAACCTGCATCTTAAAGCTGCAGCTTAATTCCTACGGAAGGAATTTTCCCAAATTCAATTGGTAAAGTCAATTCCCAATTTCGAGTATCTACATGTTCAGATGAAAAATAAAAGATACTTGATAATAACGTCTTCGTTTCAATATAAAATAAACGAGTCAGTAGGCGCGACTATCGTAAGGAGAATGATGTCGACTATAGCCAGCCAAGTGGTAGCCAGCCTCTCGTAGTTGCCAGAGCTAAGAGCAGAGGCCTGACAGGCAGTGTGAGGGGTCCCTAGAGTTAATAAAACTTTATCAGACGAATAAGATGGCGTGGTCTCGGTACAAACAGCTCTTCCAGCAATCGTTCTTAATTGTCGCGCGTCTGATTGGGAAGCCGTGTGGATCTGACGAGATTCTCGAAGCCATCTTCGCAACCATAAACTGAGCCAAGCGATCTCGCAGTCGCACTCGAGAGGATTTCCTGATACTTGCAGACCTCCTGAAGAATAGCGATAAAACAATGACATGAGTTACCCTTTTCATTTGAGTAAGGAGATTCTAATCATATTTCTAATCATGTGTTCATTTTTTAAACAGTGACTCTTATTAATAAACTGCGGGCTGTTATCAATATCTGAAATATGCGAAGTTAATATAAATAATAGTAGTAATACAATAAGTAATTATAAAAGTAAAATAAATAATATAAATAATTTGATGTGCTCGTTTGTTATCCGATCTTTTTGCGAATTTAGTTTACTGTTTCTCAGAGAACTAAATGAAATTTATGTTTCCACTAATTATAACAAATGTTTTAATGTATTTAAAAACAATTAATGGAATAACACTATTATGAACGAATATGTAGAGCAATAATCTATGGATTATTAATAAGAGTCACTGTACTTTTAAGTTTTTTTTTTTAATTTCATTCCACTTTCTTTACACAATATCAAATTTGTCATAACGACAATAATACTCGCAAATATTAAATAATTTAAATTTCATTCACCAGCAACCATGTTAGTCCCAACGCTCTCCCACGAGAGATTCCCATAGATGACCGAAGGACTGAGCTCGTTAATATGATTGTTCCTCAAGTCCAAAGTCAATTGAGACAGTCTCTTCGTCAAAGAGAGAAACATGTCCGACTGCAGTCTTCGAACTCGTGTGTCCCTGATCCTTAATACCAATTCACCACCTTCGATAGTGGAGAACGCCTCCGAGGAGATGGCCTCGAGATCACTTCCGGAAATAGTCAATTCCCTCAATTGTTTTGTGAAAGCGTTTTGTATCTGATGTTTCAACAAATGTTCCGTTACTTGAATCTCTACGGTCCTCAGTGGCAAGCCAGTTAACAGATGTCGAAGATGGAAACCGTCTGCCTCAGGCCATGTTTGAATTCGAAGATGTTTCAGATACTTCAAAACGCGAAGAGAGTCTTTGTCCACCGATCTCGTCTTATTTAAGTTTCTTAGGTTTAATTTCTCTAGCCTTGGGTAGCCAAAGAAACTCTCCTTCGTCAGCTCCTGGATTTTTAATTTTTATTAGCGAGCCTTTTTTTGGCAACTTTTAGAAATTCAATTAACTAAGAAAAACTCACCGCAATTGGATTGCCAGACACGTCAAGTTCCCTCAGCAGATTTAATTTCACATTAGGCATAGACGTCAACGAGTCGTTCATCAACCACAGGATCTTCAGACCCTTCAAATACTGGAATTGCTTATCAGACGTCGAGCCAATGTGATTGAAAGACAGATCCAAAATGTTTAAATTGATCAGTGGAAGGAGAGGTATATCTCTGAGACCGCAGCTGGCTAAAAACAGCTGCCTCAGTCCAGGCAAATAGTGAAACAACTCTTTGAAATTCGCCTGAAGAACATTCTGAGACACGTTCAGGCTTAAAAGCTTTCCTAGTGAGACAAACGAGTTATCTGGTAGGATGGTTAGCCTGTTGTGCGCCAAATTTAACGAGACTAGCTGCGAAGTTGGAAAGGCAGTCGAGTCCAGATGATCCACGAAATTGTCCGCCAGATTAAGATCCCGCAGAGTGTAGCCAACCTCGATGAAAGATGGTGACGGTACAACGGTGAATTTATTCTTGCTCAGATCGAGAATCTCCAACTTTGTTCCTTCGAAAACGTCTCTGGGTAAGGATCTTATCTTATTCCCAGACAGATTCAGGATTCGCAGATTCTTCAGGTTGCGGAATTGCTCGGTAGACAATTGGGTGACCTGATTTCCACTTAGATCTAACTGTTGCAAAAGTTCTAGACCGTGGAAAGACTGTTTTCGTAAACCTTCGATCTTGTTGTTACGTAGATTCAGCGTTTCTAAACGTCTCAGTGTGAAGGTGCCTGGAAAAATAAATACACGGTGAGTTTTTATCAGATGATGATTGTTAAAAGATGATTATAATATAATAATATAATAGGTGCAACGCAATAAATCGTTGTAAAACCAGTTCGAGAATTTCTTAAATGGGATTACAATAAATATAATAAATACATGTATACAAATATTGTTATTAAAAAATAATATAATTAAATAATATAATTAAATATATAATATTAAAGTATTATAAAAATGTTCTTTCTTTGTAGAAATTTCGTGCAAAACTAAATTATGTACGGAAGAAATTTTTATTTCGACTCAGAAAATTTTTCGTTCTCCAGATCGACTGAATAAAATAACGACATAATATGTTACCCCACCTGACTCGAGAACAGTGATGAAATTACTCTGCAAATCCAAACTCTTCAACTCCGGTGTTCCATAGAACGTATCAGCCGGCAAATGACTGATATTGTTGAAGCTCAAGTCCAGCCTAGTCAAATTATTTGACGAGCTTCCGGAATTTACAATGGAGATCGCGTTGTACGAAACGTTGAGAGCAAAATCCGGACCACCGATTTCCGCAATCGCGTCTAAATCCAGCATCGTTAGCTTGTTAAACTCCAGATGCAGGAAGCGCAAACTAGGTAAACCGTAAAACGCGTTTTTCTCCATTTTAGTGATCCGGTTGTAAGCCAACGATAGTGTCACCAATTCCGGGCAATCCATGATAGAATCGGAATTAAGGAACGTTATTCTATTGCCAGTCAGGTCCAACGATCTCAGTTCGGTCAAATTGTGAAAACTGAAGTCTGGAATCGCTTCGAGAAAGTTGTAGCCGAGTTTCACATCCCGAAGTTCCGGATGGACGCTAGACAGGAATATTCGTTCGGGTAAATAGTGAAGTCGATTTGATTCTAGATTGATGTAGCGCAATCGTTGGAACGAGTAGAACGCGGTCGCCTCGATTGTTTGAAAGTTATTGTTGTCTAAAACGAGCCAGAGCAGATTAGAAAGAGGCCTGAGCGCTCGTTGAGGGAACACATCGGTCGCGAAAGCGAAACTCAATTCGAGAATGTCGAGGCTCTCCTCAATACCGATGAAGCAATCGTCGTCGAGCTCCGTCAAGTGGTTGAAAGATAAACTGAGTTCTTTCAGCTTCCCTGAAAGCATGGATGTCAATGAAACTGCTACAAGTGAGGAATATTATCAAATATAATTGAGAAAATAAGATCATTGACTGGAGAAAGAATTATCCAGGATTATTCAGTATTTTGATTGATGACATACATATGGTGGATGGAAGAAAATTTAAAAAAAACACGAGACAAATCATAATTTTATAAAATAGAATTATATTTAATGAAAGTAATGTAATACGCATCTTACAACAGAACGTTGCTAAAAGATTATTATGCTAAAGTTAAAAGAACAATTTCATTAATTAATCTGAAACTTACTTGCTCCCTTGAAGGTTTCATCTTTCAATTTTGTCAAGATGTTGTTCCTAAGCAGGAGAATTTCAAGATCCTCTGCCCATTCGAAATCACCCGGCTGAATATGGGAGATTTTGTTATAGCCAAGATTAAGGTGGAGTAGTCTTTGACACCTATTTCAATGAAATTATCAAGTATAGATGTATGTGTATGCAATGAAAAATTTAATTGTATCTTGAAGTTTATTATTATTTAATCAAAGATTAGAAAAGATACCTGGACAAAGCCGCAACTGGGACCGCGTCCAAACTGTTTGTAGCCAACGAAAGCGCCCGTAAATTATCCGCAAATTCGTTAAATGCATCGCCGGATATGTTTCTTATATCGTTGTTGGCAAGATACAAGTACGACAACTTTCTCAATCGACCAACAGCAGCTGGAACACTGGAAAGATCATTGTTCTCCAGATTCAGATATTCTAACATATCCTCGAGCCCTCGAAAAGCATTATCGTGAACGTTCTTAATCGAATTCGAAGACAAATGAATCCTTTTAGTCTCGAGACGACCGAAAACTCCGGCAGTCAATGATGTCAACTTGTTGCTGTCCAAATTGAAGTCTTTAATTTTTAAAGTCCGATTGGTCAAGCCTAACGTGGTAATCCATTCGATGCAATTTTCACTGACATCGATCAGTTCCAGATTCGAACTTTGAAAATCGGGCAACTCGAGGCTTTTGAAATCGTTGCCTCTTAGATACAACCATGTAAGATGTTTCAAGGATTTTAGAGAGGATGGAAAAGATTTTAAAAGATTGCTGTTTAAGCTTAGAGTGTGTATGTTAGGTGGCAGACTGTTTTCTAAAAGTTCTTCGATGTTGTTATTATCAAGATTCAACCAAGCTAGGCTCTCGAATGTGCTGAATATTTTTGGTATCTCGATGATTGAATTATCTCCGAAAAAGGCGTTCGTTAGCTCATCCTTCACGTATCCCCAGTCACCATCCAGCGATGTCAAATGATTGCTAAAAATGAAATTGATTTTATTAATTAACTTTCGTATATTAAGTCGCACAGATTCGTCACTGTATTTCTCAATTTCCCAACATTAAATAATTTGTAATCCCTTAAGTTTTAAATTTTTACGAAAAAGATAAAATCGTAAACTGTAGTGTAATAAAAATTAATTTTTCTGAGATGATATCACACTAACAAATTTAATTTCTGTTAAGCAGTAAATATAATATTATTCACGAATCAATAGATCAATAGATTTTTTTTTTATCAAATTAATTGGAATGTTTATCGAATTTTCTATACCTATGCATGTTGAGCCAGTTCAATTTCTTCAGGTCACGAAAAACTTTAAACGGTACATCTTCCAAGGCATTGTAACTGAGATCCAGCGATCGTAAACTATCCGCAATACCTCTAATAACATATATCCTCTTAAATGAAGTACTAAATATTTTGAAGATATATTTACAAATCTTCATTGATTTATTTGAAAGCTGATCACAAGAAGTTTCAAAAGATGTCTTGACTTACGAAAAAGATTTATCGCCGATGTTAGACAACCGATTGCTCATTAATCCTAAAGCTTCTACACCAACTATACTCGTAAGCGCATCATTATCCAATGTTTGTATTCCGGATCCAACTACATCCAATTGTGCCACATAACTCACAGAGACGTCTGTTATTAAATATATTTTTAATTTATAAAACTGTAGTAAAGAACAGTGTTGGTAATGTAAAATATTTATTTTAAGAGTCATTAAAAAATAAAGCAGAGTAAAACATTGTACTTTAGAAGACAAAGATAAACACAGATCTAAGAAACATCTTCATTTAAAGAAAGAAAAATTATCATTAAATGACAATCATTTCTGTACAATGTAACTTTTGTTACAGAAATTTTTGTTGATAATCCATTTTACAGTCACAGTTCCAGTCCATCTACCTGGAAATCTGGCAAATGGTATTCCAATGCAGTTGATGTCCATCTTAGTGAAATCTTCGTCGTCTTGAATCCAACACATACACATGGTGTTGAACGTACATGGTACGCTAGAGCATTTTATCACACTCGATATACAAATAATAAAAAAGATCTCGACGTATATGCGGTCCGCTTGTTTGCTGAACAGCATCTATATCGAATAGGTAAGTAATATTTTCAAAATTCAAATAAAATTATTAATTTTAAAAAGAATTTGAGCTCGTCAAGATACTTTCGAAGACAATTTATAAATTAATTAAATAACATGTAAAATCTTATATTTGCAACTTCGTAAATATAATATGGGATGAAATACATACCTTTCTAGATATCAATTTTCGGTAGTTCATTCAAACTACCATTCATCAAATTAATTTCAGTGGATCATTTTAGAATGAGTTACGAGACTTTCGTTAGTCTCCACGTTCTGTTCTTCATAACCATGATAGAAATAAGCAGCACAGAAAACAACTGAACGTAAACTCGAGAGGAATGATGTCGAGAAGTGCATCAAGTATGAAGTATGAAGCAAGTATGAAACCGGAAGACACGAAAGCGCATGTTCCTCCGGTTCTATGGATCGAACCAGAGACCAAAACAAAGCTGAAGCTGCTGTCAGACCGATGCGATCAATTTCACAATAAATTTTGTGTTTCTAATTCTTTTGATTTCCTATGTAAGAAAGAAATAGATCACTTTCTGTCTGCGATTTAATGAAATGTATTGTTTAGATCCGTGAATTGAAATCTTTAACTGTTTTAGCCAAAATTTTCTATTAATAGAAGTTCACATATACAAATAGAATAAATTCAGGAGTTTAATTAATCGAGCAATAATTAAATAAATATAATTCTACTGTATACATCACATGTAATAGTTTCATATGAAACTATTTAAAAAATGCTGAAGTTCTTAGTAGATGTTACAGCTACAATTATTTTTATCTCATGCTTCTCTTAATTAATTAATTAGATCACGTCATAAATTAATCATTTCCACGTAAACTAATAAGTGATTTTGAATTGTTATAATTTCAGAAAAGAAAATCGTCCATTAATTCATTTGAACTCGTTTTGAAAGACAATTTCTAATTTCATATTACTAACTATAAGTTAATTTTCCTTGAAAATGGACTTTCCTCTAAAATATTATGAAAAAATATTATGAAATTTAATAATTTTGCAAAATACGCGCATTTTTCACAACTCAAATCATTGAATTCGATCTAAGAATGTAGGACAATGACCTACATTTATTTTTACATCCCTTAAAAGTTGATGTACAATTTTTTGTCGCCATTTTAGTGTACTTTGAATGAAAAGTGTACTACCAGTATTAGAATAACCTAAGATATGCAAGGATGTTGTACCATTGAACTTATGCTTCGTGTATATTTCTAGTGTCTCTAGTGCGTTTAATGCGTGTGTTAAAAGGAAATGAGACAGGATCAAACAAGACTAGGAATATAACAAGGCCATTATGTGTCATAAAGTATGTATAATAAGTTAACAAAATTAAAATATTTTATTGTTAAACAAATTGATACATTTATTTCTTATCATTCTTTTCGTGCTCCTCTTTCTTCTTTTTTTTACTTTCATAGTGTTTTATTTTATTTTCCAAGCTCTCTGTAAGAAAAATTGTACATTTAATGTAATTATTTCCTCTCGAAACATTGAAAATAGAAAAATTATAGGATTCGAATACTAACCACAAGTGGGTCGTTTCATTAATCGTTGATACACTCTAGGTTGTATACCAAGTAATAAACAATTGCTTTGAAAAAGCGTATCTTTACAATCTATTGAATCTTCCAAATCCGATAACATATTTTCAATCATGACTGACCTGAAATTATTTTTTATAAATAAGCATGAATTGACAATATAATTTTTTGTACTAAAATAAATATGTGTTAGTGTATTATTTAAAATTATACAAAATCGTAAGATTATTTATAAAGGTGTATGTAACCCATGTATTAACAATTTGTATTTCTTCTAAGACTGTTTATAAGGAGTCATATATTATTAACAAATTAAAATATACAGTTTAAGATTGTATATACTTTATCGTGTTCAAAGTCCAATCCTTTTGTAGAAATTTTATTGTATTTATTAATTCATCTTTATCAATGTACCATTCCTTGGTATCATACTCACAATACCAAAGATTTAATGGTATTTCATGAGCTAAATTATATTGTGGTTTCTTAGGATATTTTTCAATATTCAGAAGCTCTAAAATAATCTCAGGTTCTTCCTTTCCTTGACCAATAAGGAACAAAACACCCATTAAACACCGAATTTGGTGCCATAAAAATGCTTGACTTGTTATAATTAATTGACACACGTCATATCCTATAAATAAATATATTTCGTATAATTTTTGCAATTTCGTAAATGTAACATAAATTTTTAAAAAATTTTATGGAAACGAATTTTAGAAAAGGATAATTTCAAATAAAAATTTCAAAATGACGTATATTAATAATAAATAAACATAATAATCTTAAACAATATTAAACATCATGAACAATATTAAAAGTAATTACATATAATTTAGGTACCATAATTACCTGAAACATTCCTAAAATCTCGACGATACATACATACTTCTGCATTGATAACTTTTCTTAGATAACTAATAACACCATTGGCAACATCCATTTTACAAATATTTCGAAAATCATGCTCTCCTATAATATATTTAACAGCTTTGTCCATTAAACTTATGTCTAACTTTCCTCTTGGGAAAAAGTACTTGTATGTTCGAAATTTACAGTTAAATCTTGCTGAAAAATCACTAGGTACTGGACACCACGCAATACATCTTATGTTAGAAGGAAGTAATCTATTTAATATTTTGCAGTATGGAAGTTCATCTTCTAATTTATATTGATCTTCTGGATTTAATTTACTCCTTAAATCTATGGAAATCACTTGTGAAAATGAACTGACACCTTTATCTGTTCTTCCACATCTATGGTAATTTGATGTTTCGCGAGATTCTATACAACAACTTTTTATTAATGCTTCAAATAAGTATTCCTCAATTGTATTATTAATGCTCTCTTGTACAACAAAACCATTATAATCCCATCCAAGATAGTAGAATTTCAAAAGAATATGCCTCTTACTACATCTAAAATTTAAGTAAAATTTATATCAAAATTATTTATTTTATTTTATATATATATATTTATTTATTTATTTATATTTATATACTTTGAAAAGTCAAATGGTTTTTGTGATTTATGAATAATATTTTTATTCTTTGATTTTTCATTTATTGCTTTCAGTTGTTTATTTTCTCCTTCTAATTTTATTATTTTTTCTATCAGCTCCTAACAAAAATATATTATTCATAGAATATTTATACTATTTATATAATTAACTATTTTTTAAATATTTTTCTATATATTGTATGATATTCTTCAATGTTATATTTATTTGTTAAACAAAATAATTAAATTAGGTATATTTACCGTTTTGCTGAGCAATTGAAGTTCTTCCTTCTCCAAAGTTTCTTGGTTTTTCTTTTTATCCATGATTGACATAGTTTTATAAATATTATAAATATTATCAGACAAATATATTAAAAATTTAAAATAAAAATTTAATTTGAAAAACTGATAATTTTTCGAAAGCTTCTGACTATGAAAGAATACAAGTCATATTTCTTACAAAAATTCATTAAATTTATAATTACATCACTTAAAATATTCAAGATTGTAAATATATTTATTACATATATTAAAGCATTAAAACATTTAAAAAATGTGTCATTAGCAAGTTCAATACACTCGTGTACATATAATTTCGATAGAAAAATAACGTATAACCTCAAATAAAAAACTACATAACCTTGAATAAAAAAATAGAATACATTAAAGAAAAATATTAAGAATTTATTCGATACAATTATTTACAATAAAATATATTAAAAAGTCAATTCAATTATATTACATCACAAGATACAATAAATTTCACAATATAAATTATAAATCAATATCAAAAAGTCCATGTAAATACAAATATCAAATCTTCTAACCTGATGTTTTATCTGTATTAATAAAAAAAGAGTGTAATGTAGTAAAATTTAATACTATATAACGTTCTAAGAACGTAAATTTTTTATAAAAACAAGATTAAAAACTTCCTACTATTTCGAAGTTCTACGATTTTATTTTGATCATACACAATAGAAGGTGTAGAGTTACAATTCCAACACAAAATAATAAAAAATTAAAATATTACTTTAGTGTATTTTTATACCAGTTCTTAAAATGTTTTATATTTTAAATTTGCTTTAAATTTTTACAATTTCAAATAATGTAAATTATACAAGTCGAAAATATTATTATTAATAATATATGTATATAGTACACTTTTTTTATAGTTTAAACTTGGCAATTGAATTTATAGCATTATACTTATATACAATTATCATTCTATTTTTTAATTTTAATAAATTCCTTTTTAATAGTCGTGTTTTTATTCTGTTTTAACTTGTTCTATGTACGTATATTGACCGTATACTATATGCATATATGGTATGACGTTCGAAATCAGTTCAGAACTGAATTTGCCACTCAATTTTGGTTTATGTCGTGTGTAAATTGTGTTTCTATATTTTTATTAGATTTGGTGGTAACTTCCAAATGTTTTAATTTAGACGTAATTTAGATTGTCTTCAAACAAGTACTGACGAATCTTCAACTGCGAAGTAGAGTCCTATGGTAAGAGAAACCCAGTTAACCATCTGGTTATTATGAATATTACTTTAAAAATTATTGTAAATTTAAATATAAGATTAGAATAAGACTTGTTTCAATGATCAAGACTAGTACTATAATTATTTTCAATAAATTTCGAAATCTTTGAAATATACGTAATTACGTATTACATTTGATATATTGTATATGTATTGCGATTTTGATTTATTGTAATTTACCTAAATATATACTGTTTTGTACTGTACTACGAATTTCATTTAAGTAAAAAGAGTGAACATAAATTTAAAACATTTATTATTGTATCATATTATATTGTAATATATGTTTACATAAATATAAATATAGGAACAAAACAATATATGCACAGTGAGTGTGCTAAGTGATTAGTATATCTAATATTGAGAATTATTCTATTTAAATGTACAGTAGTATTGCTCTTTATATATGTCTTAAACAAGTATTTTTGTTGCTGTAATTTTATTATAATTTTATCATGTTCATATACATTTAAAATTTATTTATTTATTTAATTAATTGATAATATTGAGCAATAAAAATATTAAAACAAGATAGTACAAATTACATGAACAGGTATATCATCCTTGATTTTTAATATTTTAGAATCAAAAATGCCTGGAGAACCATCTATGACCAGTGGAAATAAGAGTTCTGGGAAAATCAAGCGCATTTCTATTCCAAGAGTACAAAGTAGTACAGATACAGAGTTGCAATCGCAAAGTGGATCTACTCCATTGCAACCAACTGCACTTCATTATGCAGCTTTTCGTACAGACCCTGATGACAGTGTACTACCATCAACTTTACGATGTCGACTTTTTGAATTATTTCAACAAATAGAAAAAGAGTTTGAAGTTTTATACACAGAAAATTTAGGACGTATGTATACATTCTTAATATTCTTAATAAAACTTTCAGCCATTATTTCTTATAGAATTTAAGATCAAAATATAATTATATAATGAATTTTAATCTAGTACAAGAGAAAATAGATACTCTTAATGAGAGGCTTGAAAGAGAATGTTATGGTTCTGGAGAACGCAGCTTACCTCTTGGAGATGTTGCAGACTTTCCAGATACAAAGAGTCTTTCCAAACAAAAATGTAAGGGTATTTATTATTACAAATTCAGATTTGTTGTATTTAATAAAAATTATATTTTCTCTTTCATTTATGTTAAAATATATTGTTTGCAGCTATGGCAGGGAATTCAGCACCAAAAACAAAAACAACTTCTAATAAGTTGAAAGCACAGACTAGTAAAATAGTCTCCAGTTTTAAAACACCAACTATGACATGTAGTATGCAAAGGGAATATTCTGGACATAGAGATGGTGTTTGGGAAGTTTCTGTTGGAAGATCAGGACAAATTATTGCTACAGCTTCTGCTGATCATACTGCTAGAGTTTGGGCTATGGACAGTGGACGTTGTTTATTACAGTATATTGGTTTGTTTTTCTTTTTATTTATTTATTTTTTATTATCATTCTACAAAATACATATTGAAATATTTCTCATTTAATCTATATAGGTCATTCTGGTTCTGTTAACTCTGTACGTTTCCATCCTACCAAAGAGTTGGCCCTTACATCAAGTGGAGATAATTCTGCTCATGTATGGCAAGCTGCAGTAGATTGGGATTTGCCTAAAAGACAGACTTCATCTGAAGATCTTTCATGTTTGAGTTCTGACAGAAATCTCAGCGGTATAACTGCTTTGAATGAAGAACAAGAAGAACCTCCTACATTAAGGTAATATTACAATAGTATAAAAGGCTAATTGGATTTCTTTATCACTCTTATTATCATATTAGATATTTAATCAGAATTGTACTTTAATGAATATGACAAAAAGTTAATCTTATGTAGCTGTAAATAAAAAATACACATTTCTGTATGTATACTACCTTGTAAAATATTATAGAACTCCGATACGAGAATTATTAGGACATACGGGTGTCGTAATGGCTGCAGATTGGTTACCTGATGCAGAACAAGTGGTCACTGCTTCTTGGGATAGAACCGCGAATCTATATGATGTAGAAACTGGAGAAATTATTCATACGTTATGTGGACACGATCAAGAACTTTCGCATGTTTCAACTCATCATACGCAACGACTTTGTGTTACTTCAAGTAAGGACAGTACTTTTCGTCTGTGGGATTTTAGAGAGCCCATCCATTCGGTTTCCGTTTTTCAAGCTCATACCGAGTAAGTGATAATAGATAATGAATTATCGTGTAAAATGAAATATCTTCAATTGT